GGTCAGGAATATGGCTCTGTGATAATCGCATGCCTCCCATGTATGAAACCCAACCCAGAATTCCTAAAAAAATAAATTCTTGGGGTTGGAAAGATAATACTACTTGCCCCGGCACCTCAGAGAGTTCCCCTGAACCCCACCAGACTGATCCTTGAGCAAAGAGTCAGGAGTGATCCCTGATCCTGGAAAAACCTACCAAGTTTTTCAGTTCCATCATTTCTGTTTGCAGTTTTCTCACTTTTGCTCTCTGGTACCACATATGGTACCCTGAGCACTGTCAAGAGGAATACTAAGAACAAAGTCAGGAGTAAGCCCTGAGCAACATGGGTGTGGAAAAATAAACAAATATGCATTAAACAAAGGGGGAAAGACACATATAAGGGGCCACGGGATTGACTCAATGGAGTACTTAATTCACTCAGTGGAGTAGTGTGATGTCCTAGGTTCCACAATAAAACCTGTCAATGGTCAGATATGTTTTCCCCCGCTCTTAGACCTCAATACCCCAACTTGGCACTTCCATTCACAAAGAATGACAACTCATTTTCAAAACAATGTATACCTTTATTTGGATACTAATAATTTCTTCCCATTAATATATAAGCATTTTCTCTACTGTCTCCCCGGTCTTCATCTATTTTCATGACACTTTCCTTTTCAATTAATCATGTTACTACTTACTAATAGATTAGTCCCAAAGCACAAAATTAAAGTCACCCTCTGACACTAACAGCCTTTATAAACCAAAAAGCCAGTATTGGCCAAGGAAAGAGCTCAAAGGACTTTGTGGTTTGCAAACCAGCAGCAACCTCAGTCCCTCCCTTCCCAGTATCAAGCTAGGAGTAGCCCATGAGCTCCATCAAGGTGTGTTCAAAACAAAAACAAAAACAAAAAAACCAAACAAAACCACCAAAACCCCACAGAAAACAGGAAAAATAAAGAAATCAATGGAATTTTTCTACATAAGAGACTTTAAATCCTGGCTAGAGAGAGCTCGATGGGGTGAATGCCCGTAAAGGGCCAAGTTCAATACTCAATACTGCATGACGGTTCAAAAACAATAAATTTTGTGTCGTGCATATTTTATATTTACTTTACTTTTAAAAAAAGGAAGGACATGCAAGAGATAATACAACATAACTTGCTTGCCTTGCACACAGCTCATTCAGGTTGGATCCCCAGCACTGACAGACGTGAACTCTAAGCAGAGTCAGGAGTAAGCCCTTAGAATATCTCTAAGCACCACTGGATTGGATGTTGCCTCCAAACAAAACAAAATTGGTTCAGTTTTCTATAGTTTACTGTATAAATCAGAGAGATCGTATAGGAATTAAGGTACTCATTTGCCTTGCACATGGCCAACCCCAGTTTGAATCCCCCGCACCACATGTAGTCATATCCCCACCACACCCCCAAATACCACCAGAAGCAGTGTTCAGGGCTTACTCTTGTTTCTGTACTCTAAGGTCACTCCTGGCAGGGTACTGGGGACCATATGGAGTGTTGGAGATCAAATTCAGACAGGCCGCATGCAAGGCAAGCACCTTACCCAACTGCACTGTGTCTCAGCCCCGATGATTGCTTTCTTTTTTCTTTTTTTTAAATTAGTGAGTGGACTGGAGCGAAAGCACAGCTGGTAGGGTGTTTGCCTCGAATGCAGCTGACCTGGCCGACCCAAGTTCGATTCCTCCACCCCTCTCGGAGCCCAGCAAGCAACTGAGAGTATCCTGCCCTCACAGCAAAGCCTGGCAAGCTACCTGTGACATTCAATATGTCAAACACTGTAACAACAAAGTCTCACAATGAAGACATTACTGGGCCCGCTCAAGCAAATCGATGAACAACAGTAGGACAGTGCTACTGTGCAGTGCTAATTAGTGAGACAGCATGAGGTACAGTTGTAGACTTACAAACTTTCGTTTTGGGTTTCAGTTATATAATGATCGAGTACCCATGCCTCCACCAGTGCCCATTCTCCACCACCAATGAACCCAGTAGCCCTCCCACGCCCCCACCCCACCACATCTCTGTGGCAGGGCATTCCCTTTTGCTCTCTCTTTCCTTTAGGGTGCTGTGGTTTGCAATAGAGGTATTGAGTGGCTATCGTGTTCAGTCTATAGTCTACTTTTAGCATGCATCTCGCATCATCTCACACCAGAGACTGGCCCACATCCAAAAGAACAAAAGCAACTGGTGTTGCTTCACTGCTGAGTATTTCACTGCTGGGAATTCCAACTGGTTCAGCCCTTTTGGAAAACAGTACGGACGATTCTCAAAAAAATTAGAAATTGAGCTCCCATTTGACCCAGCAATACCACTCCTGGGAATATATCCCGGAGACGCAAAAAAGTATAGTCGAAATAACATCTGCACTTCTCTGTTCATTGCTGCACTGTTCACAATAGCCAAAATCTGGAAAAAATCTGAGTACCTGAGAACAGATGACTGGTTAAAGAAAGTCTGGTACATCTACACAATGGAATACTATGCAGCTGTTAGAAAAGATGAAGTCATGAAATTGGTGGTTCTACATGGAAAGTATCATGCTAAGTTAACTGAGTCAGAAAGAGAGGGACAGACATAGAAAGACTGCACTCATCTGGGGAACATATTAAGTAACAGAATGGGAGATGAACACCCAAGAATACTTGAGATAATTGCTTTTCTATTTTTTTTTTTTGCTGTGAAAGGAGAGGGGGGATTTGGCCTACATCTGGGGGTGCTTGAGGCTATGCTCAGGGGTTGACTCCTGGCAAGCTAGAACTACATGCAGTTCCAGGGATCAAACTGAGGTTAGCTGCAAGAAAGACAAGCAGCTTAAACCCCAACACCTTCTTTCCTAATAACACCTGTATGACCCTTACAATAAAGTTAAAACAATAGTCCTCCCTCAGATGACCCACCCCATTGCTTTTTTATGGAAATGCCTGTCACTTCAACTTTCTCGAATGTTTGCTTTTAACAAAAAAAGGAAAGAAAAAGATATCTAAAAAGGACAGAAATATCAACGAATTTATTAAAGCAATAGCGGAGAAATTTGCACAAAGGCTCCACTGGGTAACTGGGTCTCAAATCTTCAGCTTCTCACTGAGCAAGGAAAACTTCCACTTTCCTTTTTTTCCTTCTTACCCCCCCCCCCATCTTTCTTCCTCTCCCTCCCTTTTGCACCAGATACTCTGAAAACTGAATGAATCCCAGGTTCATTCCCCAGCAGTATGTGATTCCCCCAAGCACCAACAGGAGTGTTTTCTGAAAGCCAAAAAATACAAAAGCAGGGCAGGAGAAATGGTACAAAGGTTAAGTATAATGGTACTTGACTGGCATGTGGCTGCATTCACGACCCTGATTCAAATCCCAGAACCATATATGTTCCCCCAAGTTTCACCTATTGTGGCCCCTGAACAAAGAGCCAGATGTGGACCACTCCACCCAAAAAAAAAAAAATGTAGCTTCCCATTTTCAATCAATTCATAATAAAGCCTTAAGTAACTAAACTATTAACCTTTGCTCGCCACAGGAGATGGGAGAAACCTAATCTACCAGAAAAAGCAAATATCCAAGGCACAAGGTATTTCCATCTAAATACCAACAATAAAAGTATTTACTTGAAATCATGCCAATGAGCCCTTGATATTTCACTTGAAAGACAAAATCCATGTAATATTAAAGTAAGATCAGAGTAAATAGTAAAAACTATCTGCTCTGCTTCTACATAATAGCCTAGTTAGAAGAGAAACATGCTGGAAATCTATCTAAATAACTAAAATATAATTAAAATTTTATAGTATATTATATGAGAATGATACCTGCTAGTATGTTACATAGTACAAAATGTACACAGTGACATTAATAACTAGCCTGAGGTGTTAAGATATGAAAAAGTATGATCATTAAAACAATAAAAATAAAATTCTTGGACCGGAGCAATAGTACAGAGAGTAGGTTGTTTGCCTTAAATGAGGCCAATCCAGGTTTAATGCTGAGCACCCCAGATGGTCCCCTAAGTCTTGCCAGTAATGACTCCTGAGTGCAGAGTCAGGAGAAAACCCTGAGCCCCACTAGCTATAACCCAAACTCTCCAACATCCCCCCCAAAAAATTAGGATTCTTGGGCCCAGAGAGATACAACAGAGGTTAAGGCACTTGCCTTGCACGTGGACCCAGGTCAAATTGCCAGCCCACATATGGTCTGCCAAGCACCACCAGGAGTGGATTCTGAGCACAAAACCAGGAGTAGTTCCTGAGCATGCCAGGGAGGGTCCAAAAATAAACAAACAAAAAGCTTCTTCCTGGAATAAACTCTACATATACACACACATCCCACCTTCCATTCAGCACCAGCGATTGTGTCCTAAAATTAAAAACCAAGAAACAAAAACGAACAAGGGCCAGCGATGTAACTCAATTTGCCTATTTGAGACCTTGGGTTTTATCCCAGCACCACAAAACAAACATTTCCATTACTAACACCATCACCTCTCTTCAACCCACCCACCCAAATCAATTGAATATAAGCTGTACGAATTTATAATCATAAAAATCTCTTTGAACACAAGCATTAGGTATCAATACATGAAACAAGCATATTATCCAAGGGGCATGATTATCCAGGGCAAAACAGAAGAATTTGGGTATTTTTAAGACACTTACTAGTTGTTCACATAGGCTATGTGAAAGATAGTGATTCTTACAAAGTCTCCTAAAACTCATTTTATGAAACAAGTGTTAATCAATGCAATTCTGCTTCAATGTACTTCTGGTCTATCCTCCCTGAATCCAATCCACCAGTCTATTTTAATTCTTAGTAATTTGGGAATCTGAAGACCTTAGATATATACTTAAAAAAGAAATTCATTAAATGTGCTCAAATGATGCAATTTTTAATACTTAGCTTTGGTTTCAAGTTACAGGGCCATTAAATCAGTCTAGAAGAGACATTAGCATCAGTACATGTTTCATTCAACTGAGGGGATTACACTTTGAATTGACAACACTGCTCACCTTTAGGACAGAGGCTAAGCTGGTCATATGCTCGTTGAGGGCACTCTCCGACTCCTTGTAGGTCAAACAGGTAAACTGATATTCCTCAGGATCAAAGGCGTCCGCTCCCTGCTGTTCCACATCGCTGGCTACTCCCACATAATAGTCCTCTATGTCCCCAGGGTCCTCATCCTCTTCTTCTTCCTCCTCCTCCTCCTCCTCCTCACAATTTGGATCATAGTCTTCTTCATTGCTGTCAGATCCCTGGCTATTCATGTCCACAGACATCTTAGCATCCAGCCAAATTGCAGATCAGGAAAGTAGGATTTTCCCCCTCCCCCCACACTTTACCACCTTCTCAAATGCATTAGTGTTCTGTCTTCTAAAGAAAGAAAAGGGGGGGAGGGAAAGTGTTATTTTCATTATGAGAAATTATAACAAATCAATCAAGAATCAAAATAATATAGCTCTAGCCCTCCTCCACTATGGCTTATTCTAACTAATCACAGAAAAAACGTGCCCATCATCTCTCTTTGCCCAAGCCAATCAAAGAATAACTATTTCCTAGAAAGGCTGACAAAGGCAACGTCACATAAAAAGCCTGGCACAAAGAGTAACGCTGTCTGCTCGATGTAGAGTCAAATTCCAATAGATTTGTCCTTCCTGCCAAAATCCTTTAAGAAGCCCATACCATAGTTGGCCCTCAATGGGGAAGCAACTTAAAGGTTTAACTATCAAAGTTTAAAATTTCTTCACCAAGTAGACTATAGACCAAACATGATTGCCACTCAGTGCCTCTCTTTCAAACCACAGAACCCAAAAGGAGAGAGAGAGAACAAAAGGGAATGCCCTGCCACAGAGACAGGGTGGGATGGGGGGATGGGGGATGGGAGGGATACTGGGACCCGTGGTGGTGGAAAATGGGCACTGGTGGAGGGATGGGTACTTGATCATTGTATAACTGAAACCCAAGCACAAAAATTTGTTAAGTCTATAACTGTACCTCATGGTGTTTCTCTAAAAAAAAAAAAAATTCTTCACCACTCACACCCCAGTAAGTGATGACACAGTTCATAAATAGGAACACAGTTCCTTCACAATATAATTGCCTAGGAAATGAGACTGTTTCACAGACTCATTATTTAGAACCTCTAATCCAGTGGTTGATAATCACTCTAATAATTTTTTCATTTTTGAAAGGTTTTATTAGGATCAAGGGTCAACAAAATAGAATAGTAAGTAAGGCCCTGCATGTGGCTGACCCGAGTTTAGTACCTGGTCCTCTATGTGGACCAGGTACTAAACACAGCCAGAACATATCCCTGAGCACTGCCAAGTGTGGTCTAACAACAACAAAAAGGGCTTCAGTGGGGCCAGACAAATAGCAACAGGCTGGAGTGCAAGCTTTGCAAGAGAAGCCTGGTTTGATTCCTGGCATCACATGGTCCCCAAACATCACCAGTAGTAACCCTTAAAACCTGAGCCACTCATGGTGATTCAACAAATTAATTTATATATAAAAAAAAAAAACCTGAGCCAATGGGGCTGGAGCGATAGCACAGAGGGTAAGGCATTTGCCTTGCACATGACCAAGCCGGGTTCGATTCTCAACATCCCATAAGGTCCCCTGAGCACCACCAGGGGTAATTCCTGAGTGCAGAGCCAGGAGTAACCCCTGTGCATCCCCGGGTATGACCCAAAAGGCCAAAAAAAAAAAAAACCCACCTGAGCCAAGAGTAATAACCAGGTGTGTCCCCACCCATCTCCCCAAACCCAAATAATATACTTAAGACCAGGGAGATGGTTCAAAGGGTTAGGAGCATGCTTCATATGTGAGAGTCCCAGGTTTGATTCCTGGCATGGTAGCAAATGGTCTGCAAATCACTGAAGGCATGGAATGACGATCAATTACCATGCTGGGAATGGCCCCCAACAGTCCTTGGTATGACAAAAATTAATCAATAAAAGGCTTCAGTGATCCCTTAAAAGGATTAAAGGTAGAGAATCTGAACCCAGGCTCAGTAGTAAAGCAAAGCCTCATGTTATGTGTGAAATGCTCAGCTGATCAACACAGCTGGCATGCCAACAATGAAAAAAGGGGGGGGGGGCAAGCGACATGGTACATGAGGAAGGGCACTTGCCTTATATGTGGCTGTCCTAGGTTTGATCCCATCAGCTTATATAGTCCCCTGAGCCCCACCAGGAGTGATCCCTGAGCACAGAACTAAGAGTAAACCCCATACACCACTGTACTCAAGAACAAAAAAATAAAAGAAGGAACTAGCCAAATGGTATAGGAAAACCACAGGTTTTCCGCCTTAGAAAGATCAACATTAGAGAAAAATTAAGAGTGGAGAAACAAATTCAAATAAAAAAAAATCGACACATATCAAAAAGTTACCCAATTTTACATAAAGGAAGAGCTGAGAAAGCAAAACAAAGTCCTGGACTGGAGATAGTACAAAGGTTAAGGCATATGCCTAGCATGTGCCTGCAAACACATGTGCCTAGCACATGGTTCAAATCCCGGCTTCACTATCGTCACCAGAGCACCACCAAGCATGTCCCTCCAGCACCACCAAGCATGTCCCTCCAACACCACCCCCCAAAAAAAACAGACAAAGTTCTAAATTTATCTCAGAGAAAATGTGGCAAAAACCCTTAATTTCTCTGCACAAGTACTAAAGTGATCACTGGCAAGATACAATGCGTGGGCATGGTACCTGCAAACTGCAGACCCATGTTTAATCCCTGGCACCCTTTGTGGTTCCCAGAACCTACCAGGAATGAACCCTGAGCGCAGAGCCAAAAGTAAGCCCTGAGTACCGTAGCAAGGTGTGGCTCAAAATCCAAAAACTGAAAAATTTTAAAGGCGCATTAAACCCTTGGACCTGAGAAAGGACTCACCTACCAGGATGGCTGAGAATCTTTATTTGGCAGAACCACCTAATCACAAGTGAGCTTAAAGTATTTTCCTTCCGTAGAAAAAGTTAATCTTTAGCCAAAGAGATAGTATAGCATGTGTCCTGCACACAGCAGATGTGGGTTCAATCCTGGGCAACATATATGATCCCTGGATTACCACCAGGAGTAAACCCTGAGCATAGCTGATTGTGTCTCCACCCACACACCACCCAAAAAAATATGATTTAAAAGTTTGGACTGGAGAGATAATATAGCTGGTAAGGTGCTTGCCTTGCGCCTTGCAGGTAGCAGACACAGGTTTGATGTCCAGCACCACAGAAGGAGTTAGCCTTGAGCACAGCTAGGTGTGGCCCCAAAAAAGAAAGAAAAAAATACAAAACATTAAACTTTTAAGTGAAAAATACCTGTAATTCTTGAAATTCTTTTAGAAAGATGTCACCCAAATTTTCTGTCATATGATTTCCATCTAAAATAGAAACAATTATATTACATGTGTATGTATATATGAAATTCTGCTTCTGCAAACTCATTTAAAAAAGACATTTATTTAAAATAACAAGTAGCAAGAAGTAAGCACAATTTAAATCTCACAGAAATCCACGTTATAATACTGACAAGCATTTCATGACATTCTAAAAGATGAAAAAGTATTCAAAGCAAATAGGTGACAATAATTTAACCTGAGATACTCGTATTGGAAATAGATACCCAATTCCCTCCCTTAACTTGGAAGCTTACCACCTTACACTTTTAAATGAATTAAAACTGAACTTTTGGGGCAAGAGAAACAGTTCAACAAGCTGAAACAATGCTCTGCATCAGGTGGTGGAGGTCTGATCCCGGTACCCCAGGTTTCCCTAAGCAATGAGATGAGAGTAGCCTGGGCACTGCCAGATGTGGCCAAACAAAAACAAATACATGGGACAGAGCTATAGTACAGCAGGTAGGGTGACTGCCTTGCATGCGGCTAGCTGGGGTTCGATCCCTGGCATCCCCGATGGTCTCCCAAGCACCACCAGGAATAATTCCTGAATGTGGAGCCACGATTAACCCCTGAGCACCGATGGTTGTGCTGGGGGGGCGGGGGGGATGGCACTAATTTTTAGTAGTCAATTCCAGTCCTATCATGTAACATTTACAGAATAGTGCTAGTAGTCACTTCACTCAAAAAATTCTTTTCAGGGACAGGGAAATAATTCAGAAGTCAGGGACACATGTTTTACAGTTTACATGTACCAGACCGAATTCAAATACCAGCACTGCATGCCCCAGCTCCACCACCACTGCAGTGGCTCTGAAGACCCCTGAGCACTACAGGGCTCACCATAGTATCTTCAGCACCAAACAGTTCACAGCAGCTGAGTGCTCAGGCCCTAGCATTGAACTGCCCAGTCCAATTAGTCGAGTAGCACCAGGTATGGCTCCTGGGGCCCCCCAGGCTTGGGTGGCCCCTCCAAGTGTTTTTTTCAATTAAAAAATTTTAAAGACACCATCAAGTGTTCCCCCAACCCCAACAAAATCTGTCCTCCAGGGCCACAGAGATAGGACAATGTGTACCCTAGTCTGCCAGGAGTGATCCCTGAGCACGGAGCCAACCAGGAGTGATCTCTGCAGAGCCACGTGTAGTCCAAAAACAAAAAAAGATCCTCCAGTAGACAATATTAATAGCCATGTCCCATCTTTCTGGCAAACTGGCAGGCTACCGAATGTAACCTGTCCACATGGCAGAGTGTGGCAAACTCCCCGTGGCGTACCCAATATGCCAAATACCAGTAACAATGATGGGTCTCATTCTCCTAACTCTGAAAGAGCCTTGAATATGGCACTTTTTAAAAATTCTCAGGGCTAGGACGAAGGAAACGTTACTGGGGCCTGCTCGAGGCAATCGACGAATAACAGGATGGTCGTGATCGTGATCTTTCTGGCATGCTGATGGTTATTTGGCTCTCTCAGATACATATTCCAATGTGGAAGAATAAACAAGTACTACTTGCTCACTCAATTACTATTTCTTCAGGATTTTTTATTCTACTTTTTTCATTCTTCCCAGGGCCATAGCCTCAGTTTCATTCTCAAGGACTTTTTTAAAAAATGGACATTTTACCTTGCAAAGACATAACTGAAACACAGGCCAATATAAACTAAATGAAAATCCAAATCCAGGGCTGGAGTTGTAGCTCAGAGGCAGAATAAAGTCTGGCATATGAGAGGTCCTGGTTCAATCCCCAAGATCAAAAAAACTGAAGTCCAAATGATTATAGATTATTTCCAAAATAGAAGAGGACTAGGGATGTGGCTCAGCAGCAAGTCTGCTCCCTGGCACTGCAAAAAAACAAAAAGGGAGAGGAACAATTTTTTCCAACCTTTTTTCTTACACCTGTATTGTTCTTTTAGGTTTTGTTTCTCAGTTCATCTGGTAGTGCTGGGGATATCCTGTCCAGGTTTTCAGGGGTCACTCTCCACAGTACTTGGGGGACTATGCAGTGTTGGGAACTGAACCCTAGGCTCTGACCCTTTGAGTTACCTCCACAGTCTTCCACCTCCATATTTATTTATCTAAGATACTATTTACTAGGAACAAAGACTGTTACCCCTACCAATAAAAGTTCTCATTTGAAATCCAATTTCAGATCTGACGCATTCTCATACGTCTTCACAATCCTCTAAAACCGTTATCATTCTCTTCGTATAAATGAAGAAAACAGAGCTGAAAGGGGCTAAGTAAGTTGGAGCATGTTCACATGCTCAGCAATACAACACTTGCCTTGAACTTGTGAAGTTCTGGATTTGATTACCCAACACTCCAACCTGCCATTAAAAAATAATAAAATTTTGTAACCTGACCAGGACCACCCTCTTGACAATTGGTCAACTTCCACCAGATCCGTGACCTCTGGAAATTCATACTTTCTCTCACCCTCCATAAGGCCACCTTCAGTATCACAAAAGATCAAGTTTTTCACATTCTCTGGACTCCTCCCAGGATCTGGGCTAAGTGGGGTACTACAGGTTCCTGAACAAATAGTCAAGAAGCAGAGAAAAACTAGTCACCCCTTGAAAAATAGATTATGTTGTACTTACTACTGCCTGATGTAAGATTTAAATCAAAACTTCATTTCTGTTCTTTACAAAATCAAATACCCCTATTCTACTAGAAAACGCTGACATTACTGCTTTACTAACAGAACTTAAGACAATATTATGATTTCCATTATATGTTAAATACCATTCCCATTCTCATCCCAATAGCCTATCCCACTCCCCCAGTAAAAAGTTTTCTTTCTGTCTCTGTTTGGGGGCCAGAGATACCTTAGTGAGAACACATGTCCCAAATGGATGAAGCTCTACCTTTCATCCCTGAAGGGCACCACCAAGGGTTTGTAGTTGCAAAACCCTACACTTCTGTCATGTCTGTTTCAGTAGGCCCTAGCCACCTGTGTTTTCTAACATTTAATAATTACAATTCTTGGGGTCCGACTTGGATCCGACAGATTGTTTGGTGAATAAAGCTTATTTTGCCTTGCTTGCAGTAAACCCATGCAGGTTCGATCTCCAGCACCGCAAACAGTACCCCCTGGACTCTGCTTCCTGCGCCCCGCGCCCTGACAGAAGAGATCTGGGAGCGCAGAGCCAAGAGTGATCCCTGAGTGGCGCCAGTTATGTCCCCCAAACCAGAAAATACTTCAAAACAAAAAATAAAATATAGAGCCGGAGAGACAGTAGAGCGGGTAAGGCTCCTGCCTTGCTTGCGGCCTATTTGAGATAGACACCCCCCACCCTCGGCCCCCATAGGGTCCCCAGACCACCCGCCAGGAGTAAGCCCTGCGCACCAGCGGGTGTGGCCCAAACACCGAAAAATAAATAAAATAAAAATTGCAATCCTTTCCGTCGTACCAGCCCCAAGTCAAGACCACGTGTGGTTACTGGCCACTCAAACTGGACAACACAACGTTTAGAACACGTCCATTGTGGAAGAAAAGTTCTACGGGGCGGAAGCAACAATCTACAGAGAGGGGAAGTCATCCCAGAACACGGCCGCCTCTGCCGAGCCCGGCACGGCGGCATCCGCCGGGCCGCCGCCGCGGCTCCGGGGCGGCAGGTCCCTCCGGCCGAACCGGAATAGCCGCGAGGCGCCGGGGCTGGCGCGCGGGAGGCCCCCTGCCCGGGCGGGCGTTAACTCCCCGCGCGGGCGGCCTGCGAGAGCGCCCCACGACCCCGCAGCGGGGAGCCCCGAGGGCGGCGAGGGCCGCGATGGGCCGGCACCCGTCGGTCAGAGGCGCTGGCCTCCGACCTCTCCCGGCGGGAGGAGGGAAAATCGGGCCACGCCGAGCGTCCGCCGGTCCCGGCCTGAGCCGAGCCCGCCTAAGAGTGGCCGGGGGCGCCCGGGCCTCGCGGGTGGCGACGAAGGCGGAGCCCGAGCCGGGCTGGGGAGGCGCGCGGAGAACCCACCCCCTCCCCCGGTCCGCCAGAGTAAACAAGGCCGCGAGTCGCGGCGCGCACTTACCGGGAGCCGCGGCCACGCGGCCGCCGAGCCCGGGCAGGCCGGTCTGCGTTGCGCCGGGCCAAAGGACTCGGACTCGGCGCGGCGGCAGGAGCCGAGGCTACGGGCCGACGCCGGTCAAGGCCCGCGCGGCTTCCTCCGGCGAAGCAGTCTCCTAGCTCCGGAAGTGCTCGGTGCAGTTGCGTCACTTCCGGGCCGGGGTCGGTCCGCGGTCGCCCGGGTCGCGGCAGGCGTTGCGTGAGTGAGAGCCGCTTTCTGCCTCTCTGGACGGTGCAGTCCGGCGACCTCGTGGGGCTGGCCCACAGCCGCGGGAGGCGGCCAAGGAGGAGGGTCGGCTTCTGCGAGGAGGATCAGGGAGCCTCTTCCGGCTTTCGCCGACAGACGCCGCCAGCCGAGATATTTTTAACTGGCATTTTCCTGCTGGACTCCTCACCTCTGTTCTCGGATGTCGGGCACGGAGAAGGCCTTAAGACGACGATGGAGTGGATCAAGGATTGTTTTACCCGGCCGCTCTCCGGCCAAAGAGCTAGGCCTTCACTGACAGCGAGAATACCATGCTGGAACCCTCTGTCTAGGCTCGAGGGTGGCGCCTGGTGGCCCGTGGGCCACACGACCAGCATATGCTGGGTTTTCTCATCCCATACTGAAAAGACGTGCTTCCCCTCCCAGGCAGGGCCTGTGCCTCCCCTCCCTTTCAGGGCCACAGCCGTAGTACCGGGGTAGAGCGTTTGTTTTGCATGCGGCCAAGCCGGCTTCGATATCCGACATCCCATGTGGTCCCCTTGAGCACCGCCAGGAGGAGTAACCCCTCAACATCGCCGCGTGTGACCCAAGAAGACAAAAAAAAAAACCACTCCAGCTTCATTTTACAAGTTTGGATCTTAGGTGCCATATTGCACACACTCTTTAAACAGTATAGGGGCGGCTGGAAGACATGGGTAAGGCACTTGCAATCTCCCTAGGCTCAGTCCCCCAGCACTGCATAGTTTCCCCTGACCCCTCCAGGAGTAAGCCCTGAGCGCCACCGGGTGTGGCCCATAAACAAAATCTAGGAGCCAGAGCTGTAATACAAAGAGTGGGGCACTTGCCTTGCATGCTGCCCACCTAGGTTGGACTGCCTTCTCCCCTGAGCCTACCAGGAGTGATCCTTGAGCGCAGTCAGAAGTAAACCCCGAGCATAGCTGAGTGGGCCCTCAAACCAAAAAACTAAACAGTATAGGAGGTGTCATCATGACTTCCAGGACCTTCTAGACCATGTTGTCAAGTATTTAAAATACTTAGGAAGATCGTTCTAGCTGTTGCTGCACACCATTTCAAGTGCCATTGTGAAGTTACTATATGTTAGGGAGCCTCTTGGTTGTGCAAGTCTGTAGATAATCCAAACCATTTTTACCTCTACATAAAACTGCGTTTATTCATATTCAAGTATCTTTTTTGTGGAGTGTGCAGCACACTCCGAAGTGCTCAGGACTTACTCCTGACTTTGTCTTGGGAATCACTCCTGGCAGGAACCATATGAGTTATTTGGGACTGAACCTGTAAGGCGAGTGTCCTGCCCACTGTACTATCACTCTGATCTTTTTTATTTGTTTTTGGGAGACACCTAACTGTGCTCAGGGCTTATCCCTGGCTCTCAACTCAGGGATCACTCTTGCAATGTTCGAGGTCTGTATGGGGTGTTGGGCATCCAGCACATTAGCAGCATGCAAAGGAAAACACCCTACCTAGTATACTATCACTCTGGTTCCCAAAATGTAGCAGGCATTTCTTACCTAAACCTGGCTTCTTATACACACACATATGATATTATATATGACATATGTTTATATATGACATATATGATATATTGCATATATGACATTCAGCTTCCAAATAAACTCAGTGCATGTATCTAGATCATGTGCAATCAAATGCTACATAAAGCCCCTAACTAATTTGGAATGAAAATTAATAGTACTGGAGCCCAGTGATAGATATACAATAGTACCTTGCGGGTGGCTGATTGATTTGGGTTCAATCCTGAATCAAACACAAATGGTTTCCCTGGTCCCACCAGGAGTGATTCCTGAATTCAGAGTCAGAAGAAAGCCCTGAGCACAGGCAGGTGTGGCCCTTCCCCGCCTCCACACACAAACACATACCAAAAAAAAAAAATAGTACTGCAGCCAGGGATGAAACTCAATGGTAGAGTGGGTACCTCACACCTCTGAGGTCCTATTTGCAATCTGGCACCAAAAATAAAGTTACTAAAGTTAATAGTAGTGCTGGAGAGATAGGACAGCAGGTAAGGCCTTGAAGGCCATTTATCTGCGTTCTATCCCTAGTATCCCACACGGACTCCAGCCCACCAGGAATAATCCCAGAGTGTGGAGCCAGGAGTAAGCCCTGAGCATAGCAGGGTGTGATCCAGAAAAAGAAAAAGTTATAGTACAAAGTAATATATTGTAGGTTTATGAATTGTATATGTTAGCAACATAAAATATCTACATTAATAAAAGGTAAAGGCCCTCCCGTTGATCGTCGATTTGCTCGAGCGGGCCCAGTAACGTCTCCATTGGAGACTTTGTTGTTACTGTGTCTGGCATATCGAATACTCTCGGTAGCTTGCCGGGCTCTCCGAGAGGGGCGGAGGAATCGAACTCGGGTCGGCCATGTTGGCCGCTTGTAAGGCGAACGCCCTACCCGCTATGCTATCACTCCAGCCCATTAATAAGTTGTATTAACAAAGACCCAGAATACATTTTCTGCAAATGGAATCTCACTTAGAAACTCAAATTCAGGTTGCTGTTAATAAGATATGTCTAACAAATAAAGGGAATTGGTCTTTCTGTAGAACTACTGGATTTGCAAAATAAAGGTTACTCACGTATCAAACACAAGCATGAATATATATTGGAATCTTCTTTCTATTTTTTTTTGCTTTTTTGGGTCACACCCGGCGATGCACAGGGGTTATTCCTGCACTCAGAAATTACTCCTGGTGGTGCTTGGGGGACCATATGGGATGCTGGGAATCAAACCCGGGTCGACCGCATGCAAGGCAAACAGCAAATGCCCTACCTGCTGTACTACTGCTCCAGCCCTACATTGGAACCTTATTTATTTTTCTTATTTGTTCACCTACAAACCTTTACCTGTTTCCCTAGTAAAGGTTTTGTTGGTTTTGGATCATACCCTTTGAGGTTGGAATGCTTCCTTCCTCTTAGTGTCCAGTAGTCACTCATTCTTTTGGCAGTATGCAGTGCCCTTTGGAATTTAAGGCCCCTGCAAGCATGTGCTCCTGCTCTTTGAGCTATTTCCTGGACCCAAAGATAAACCTATTTATTATAATTATTGTAGTTCAGGTAACAGTTTAGCAGTTTTAAATTTATGGTTTTACAGACAGTCACCACACCTCAACCAGCAAAGGTGAATTTTTTTTTTCTGGTTTTGAGGCCACATTCAGCAGTGCTCAAGACTTATTCCTGGCTCTACTCTCAGAAGTGACCCCTGGGGGCTCAGGGGGCCCTTATATAGTGCAGAACATAAAATCTAAGACTAACGGCTTACCTCCTATATTATCTCTCCAGCCCAAGCCTTATTTTCAATGACAACTTTATTTAACACTGATGAGATTGATAATATTTTTAACTTTTCAGGATAATGTTTCTTAAATTAAGCCCAAAAATTGAAAGCTATGCATAATACATGTACATATATGTGCTTTGGGACAGTGACCTACAGGGAAAATATTACAGCTTCCCCCAAAAATAAGGGTTTGTTAAGTTATGGAGAAATATACAATAGATTACACGGCGCCAGGGGGCCAGTTGGTGGGTGTGACCCCCGCCTACTGGAATTTGGAGGATCTGGGTGGAAGATGCTCAACTCCAATCCGAGTAGGCTTGGAGATCTCGGCCCCGGAACCCACGTGGCTTTGTCCCTCTGCCGGTACCTTCAGGTGTGCAGAGAGTGGTCTCAGCATGGTGGTGGCTGGTCCCGGAGGTCTTCGGCTGCCGGAGCCCTGGTCGGGGCGGGAAGGAAAGCTCAACCCGCTCCCCTCCAACGGCCGGTGAGGAATAGCCAGGCGCGGGGGTAGGAGACTGCACTGTTTTCCCTCCGGGAGCTGGTTTTTATAGTCTCTGTGTTTTGGCCGCTGATGGGATTACACCCACCAACTGGCCGCCTGGCGCTGTGTAATCCCATCAGCGGCCAAGACTCAGAGACTATAAAAACCAGCTCCCGGAACCGCGCGGCCGCATTCGCGTCTGTGCGACATCTTATTATGACATCTCATTCCTACTTTGACAAACTGGCAGGCTACCGAATGTAGCCTGCCCACACGGCAGAGTCTGGCAAACTTCCCGTGGCGTACCCAAATGCCAAATACCAGTAACAATGATGGATCTCATTCTTCTAAAGAGCCTTGAATATAATCTCAGGGCTAGGATGAAGGAGACGTTACTGGGGCCTGCTCGAGGCAATCGACGAATAACAGGATGATCTGTGCTCTGTGATCTGTGATCTGTGATACAATAGATAATGTCCCTTAAAAGGAAGCATACAGTACAGTATAGGGGTAAGACAATTGTATTTGATGTGTTCAAATTGTTTCAACTCTGATTCAAATTGTTTATCTCATAGCCCTCTTAGCAAACTCAGGCTCTAAATTACTAGGAGTAATTCCTGAGCATAAAACTAGAGCCAGTCCTGAGCACTGCCAGATGTGACTCTCCAAAAAAAAAATGCTGGGGCCAGAGCAATAGTATAGTGAGTAGTGTGCTTGCCTTGTATGCAGACTCAGGCTCAGTCCTCAACCAGGGTCACTATAGAGCAGAGCCAGCACCACCATGTGTGGCCTAAAATCATAAATAAATAAAGGGATGCTATACAAAGACATCTATTGACAAGGAAATATATTGGTGATATAGGTTTTTTTTTGTTTCTTGTTTTTTGTTTTTTGGTTTTTTTTTTTTTTTTTTTGCTTTCTGGGTCACACCCGGCAATGCACAGGGGTTATTCCTCCCTCTGCACTCAGGAATTACTCCTGGTGGTGTTCAGGGGACCATATGGGATGCTGGGAATCGAACTCAGGTCGGCCGCGTGCAAGGCAAACGCCCTAATCGCTGTGCTATTGCTCCAGCCCCGATATAGTCTTTTTTGTTTGTTTCGGGGCCTTACTTATTGATGCTCAGGGGTTACTCCT